GGGGCCCTTCATGCATCGGGTCAGGCTCCTCCACAGCGGCCGGAGGGCCGACGTGGGAAAAGCGGCAGCTTGCCACCAGCCTGAGTTCCACATCAGTGAGTGCCAGAAAAAAAAACTGCTGACGTAAGATTATTATATTAAGACTAAACGATCAAATATAACGTAACACATCAGATTGTTCCCCCAACTATTTATGTACAGTATCTTACATTTATTTGAGAAAACGTCTCTAGAACAGTGCTTGTCAAAGTCTAGACTCAGACCCAGATAACAGTAATTCAATTAAATTGTGTTTAAGGTGTTACAGTAACAGCGTGTCTAAACTACATCTATTTTGGAAACCGTTTATATGTCAATAAAATACATACTAAATTATTCTGCTTAGACAATGATCACCTCAGGTACAGACTATGAGCTTTATTCACTGTTAAAGGGTAACAGTAGGGATTTAAATACCATTTTATGTGACATTTATTGCGATACTACTGAAAGCAGCAGCAGATAGTTCATTTCAGATCTTAAAAATAAAATAACTTGCAGACAGTTTGAAAGTTTGAACTGTGTTTCAGTGCAAACCAACAGCACCAGTCACTCAGTAGCCTATTTATAAAGTCAAATATGTTTAATATGTATTAATTAGATTACAATCCTTTACCATTTCATTGGGAGTGCAGTGGCTGGTATTTAAAAGTTTCCAGCATTTTAAATCACATTTGGTGCAGGCAGCCAAATTGATTGTTGCTGAAATCTTTTCACATTGCTTGTAGTTAGGACATGTAAGTGTGGATTTGCTACTCTGATACCCATATATTAAACTTGTAAATCCTTCCTGTTTTTTCGGTCTTTGGTGATAGTTAAAAATCTAAAGCGAAGGTAATATTTAGTTAGTTTTCATATTTTTTCCAGTGTGACGATGTCATGACATTCAATAAACGCATGCCATAATCGGACAGGGTATTCAGGCAATACTCTTAACCACTGTGAGTGTTTGTATGGGTGAAGAAATAAGTTTCCAGAAAAGAAAAGTTGACAGAGAAAACAGAGTTTTCAAACATGATTTAATCTTTTTGTGTTTTGTTTTCCTCTAATCCAGCACAAACGTTTTGTTTTGTAATGATATATTTGGAGTTTTGAAGAGTTAAAAAATGTCCAATTCCAAAACCTACTTAATGTTGTGTTTAGTTCAGAAAAATTGCTGACACTTAAAATAATCGTTTTAACAATTTTTGCACGTTATTCATGTTTTTTATTGCAAAAGGCATTTTATTATTATTTTTTTTTAATCTCTGGAATTGATATTTTGAATACATCTACTAATTTAACTTAGACTCTAATAATAATAATAATAATAATAATAATAATAACAATAATAATAATATTAGGATTTACCCCAAAAAATGTAATTAATATTCAAGTCAGTCAGTATCTATTGTGACCGACATTTGCCTCATGCGGTGTATCATATCTCCTTCACAGAGTCAATTAGGTACAAAATGAAAAATGGATTAGATGCAAGATATCAGCCAATATACAACCAACATGGCTGCGATAGATATTACTTGTTAGACTTTCCACTTTCATTGTAGCTAATTTTCGAAAAAGCCTCAATCTTTGGATTATAGGGAGCTAAACTTTGAAATGAATGTTTGTATGGCTGCACAGTGAGTTGACTGTGCGATGCCTGATTGTGCAGACGTACGTGTCTTTGCATGTGTTTTGTAGATGTCTTACAAAACACTCACAGGACAGAAGTAACACTTTTCGCTTGGAAAAAGATGCAGAATGGCAATTTACAACAACAAAGAGGCTCTTTAGTTCTGCGTGAGGATGTTTTGCAACACAGTGATTTGCCATTCTTTAAAATCACAGAGGGAAAGACACAAAGCCATTGAGAAGAGGCACAGCATCTTCTTTAAAAGCTGTTGTAAAGAGGCAAAGCTGACATGGGGTGACTGTTACATAAGGGGGAAAGTGTGCCCATTCATTTTTAATGCAGGTGAGGGCCCTGTCGGCGCAGGGAAGAGAGAGCAGATGGGCCACTGATGGAGAGCTCAGGCCTCGTGCATTCTTCTGCAGCTCTGCCATGCAGGTAATTCACCAGCTCTGTCATCAGCATCAATAAAAGATAACTCAGGCCAGCTGACTCCTTTTATGCAGCTTTAGACTTTCGACTTCTTTTAAACACTAAAAGTAAAACACTAAAAGAATACTTCAAACCCCCCCCCCCCCCCATAAAAACACTAAAGATTTGCCACAAATTCAATTACTCGCGCTTATGCCATTCAAAACCTAAAGCATATTCTTTCTTTAGCAGATATTATATACAGTCAAGCCCCAAATTGTTTTTATTCCTGAAAAATTCTGTCTTAAAGCTTTTGTTTTAATGTTAATAAAAGCTGAGAAACATTTTTTTGTTGTGGATCTCAGTTGTAAGATCAATAAATAATATCTTGACTTCTAGTTGATTATTTGGAAAAGTGGAAGAAGGTCCTTTTTTCCAATCAATTATCTCTTGACCTGCATCCCAATCATCCGAAATACTCCATAAGACCTATTAGAACCCGCATGGACCCAAGATTCTCACAGAGATCCGTCAAGTTTGGTGAAGGAAAAATGCATGATTTTTGGTCACATTCAGTTGGGGGTGTGAGAGATCTGCAGGAATCAAGACATTTGTGCTACTCATTACATTACAAACCACAGGAGAGGGCACATTCTTCAGCTGGATAGCACTCCTGTTTATACTTCAGCCTCCACATCAAAGTTCCTAAAAGCAAAGAAGGTCAAGGTTCTCCGGGACTGGCCAGCCCAGTCACTAGATATGAACATTATTGAGCATGTCTGGGGTAAGAGGAAGGAGGAGGCATTGAGGATAAATTCAAAGAATCTCTAGAAGTCCTCCTAGAATGCTTGGTTTGACATTTCTGAGGGATGGCAACACAGGGAGAACATGCAAACTCCACACAGAAAAGCCAACTGAGCCGAGCCGGGGTTTGAACCAGCGACTTTCATGCTGTGAGGCGACAGCACTACCTACTGCGCCACTGCGTCACCAGCTCATGGGAGTCATACACAATAATAATTATTTTTCCACTGCGCCATGACTTCATATTCTATACTGTACATTATTTCTGTTAAGTGACAAGACTTTTGTCTAAGCAAAGTCAGACCTTACTGTCCTAATTAAATAATTAAAAATCAAGGCATGATCATATTTTATTTTGGTAAAAAAGGGGTAATCTAGAGGCCTTTGCCTTTCATATAAGCCACCTCTGAAACCAAATGATCAACTAGAAGTCAACTTATTATTTGTTTGTTGGCATTACGATCCATCTATCTATTAATTCAATTTTAGACAATAATGATATAATATTCCAATCCAAGTCAATCTAGACTTAAAATACAACCTCAAACAATACACTTTATGCATGTCTATTTTTTCTATTTAAGAAAGAAAGAAAGAAAGAAAGAAAGAAAGAAAGAAAGAAAGAAAGAAAGAAAGAAAGAAAGAAAGAAAGAAAGAAAGAAAGAAAGAAAGAAAGAAAGAAAGAAAGCATTGAATCTAAAATGATGTCAGATTAAAGTTTTAAATGCATTCTTTGCTCACTGAGGGTCTCGACCTATAAAACTGGAATGTAGTTTTGACAAATGAGGACAGTGCGTGCCAGGCAAAACCTGCTTCCTGTGCCCTAAACAGTACAGTAGTATGGTTTTGGTTAGCGCAGCACTCATATGGCCAGCTGGGAAGGCTTTATGATGAACAAACAATTTTTTCGAATTGTATAAACTGAAATTTTTACACACTCATTAATTGAGGCAAATATGAACAGTTGACAAAAAAGGATGTTTTGTGCTGTGTGCCCAGTTCAGTTAAGGGTCTGTCTCTTGATCTATGTTGCCTTTGTCAGTTGCGGTAGTCAAATGTGTCTGGATTATCAGCGGCTGCAGACGTCCTGAACCCTATCTAAGCTCGGATGAGAAGGAAACTGTTACATGTTGTCCAGACATCAGTTTGTCCCCTACTGTACGGCACTATAGAACACAAATGCTGAACATTTGTGCATAGATCATTTTTAAACTTCAAAATGAAACTCTTTACTGTGTAAACTAACAAACGGCTGAATATTATTTGGAACTGATGTACTAACTGGTAGTTCAATTGTAAAATAAATGCAGTGAAAAAGTATCAGGACACTTAAGTCACGTCTTCACATTGTGCAACAAAACATATAACCAAGTGACATGCATTCATTCCTTCATTCTTAAAATAAACAAACAATAATTAAATAAAAAATAAGAAAATAAATAAGTCAATAAACAAGTCAATTTATTATTTAATTAAAAGTAGTCAAAATTAGTCAAAATTAAGTTATATAATAAAAATAAACAATAAACAACAATAAATAAATAAGTCAATAATCAAGCCAATTTATTCATTAATTAAATAAGTCAATAAATAAATAAATTAATTCAAAATATATAAATAAGTAAATAAATAAATAAATAATAAACAAACAAACAAAACTAATCAAAATAAATAAATGAAAAGTTAATAAACAAGTAAATAAATAAACAAATAAGAAAAAAATGTTTTAATAAAGACGTAAATAAATAAGTCAATAAATAAATGATAAACAAATAAGAAACTAAATAAATAAGAAAATAAATAAGTAAACAAAAAGGTTAATAAATAAATAATAAAATAAAAAACTAATTAATAAATAAATCATACATTTTTAAATCTTCTTGAGCCAGTTAGTTAAAATGAAAAAGCAAAATGGCTACAAGAAGTATAGTTGAAGAAGTCACTTGTTTAGAAGTTTTTTTATTAAAATGAAATTCCCAAATTTTAAAATGTCCAAAAGTGTCCAATTACTTTTTTGGTGCCACAGTGCATTACAAATAAAATGATAGTACTGGCAAAACTCTTCCAATCACCAAAGATGGGTCATTACAAGAATTATAAATACTGTATATTATCAGTAGTAGACCACACTTACCTCTACAATGTCAGAGTTGGTTCTGCTCTCGTGGGGTTCATTGTATTCTGTGTACTTAAGTAGGACTTTGTCCATGTCAGTGCTGGCATACTGAAAGAGTTTGTTCGAGCTGTTGAATATAATCAGGGCAATCTCACAGTCACACAATACGCTCAGCTCATAAGCTTTCTTCATCAAACCAAACTTCCGCTTCGTGAAGGTAACCTGTGAGGAAACAAAATATACGCTCAGTTAAATGTTCACATAAATAATATACACATTTAAAATAATCACTCTACAACTTCTTTTGTTTGTTAACACAATACTTTAAAATTAAAAATGGTGTATTTTTAAACTAATGTGCCATACTCAAAATAAGGTAAACTCGACAGCATTTGTTATGATTACAGAAAAATAAAGTAAGGAAATACACACAGCATGACGATTAAAAGGGACACACATGGGGTAATACACTTCCTTCATAAAATTTCATGCCACTACTGTATGCAAAAGCACTAAGAAGAATTACCCAAAAACACATTTAATGTATTTTTCTGGAGATGTTATGGTTGTTTTATATTTCAACATCTGAAACTTGCTCAAACTAATATCGCAGTTAACATCAAGCATTGAGCAAGCAAAAAATATGCCCAAATGTGTGCACAGACTTAGCTGCCTATTTTTTATTTATCAAAAGAAAGTCAATGATTTGTTGTGGTATAAGGTGAACTAATGGTATATTAGTGGAATATTTATAATGCCTATAAACTATATATATATATATATATATATATATATATATATATATATATATATATATTAGGGTACTGGTAGCCTATTTCACAGCCTATTTTCACTAAATCCGCTGAAAAATGTCCAGGAGAAGTAGGGATGAAGATAGTAAAGGCCCCCTCTGATTGGTCAATTTTGGATAAACAACCTATGCATGCAGCACACAATTGTTTGGCACAAACAATTAATTCATTACACTTTTGGGTAATATGGTTATTGCGTATATTATTATAATAACGATCTTTTCTCTATATATTTTGCAGCCCTACTATTTACAGTGTGTGAATTCCACTCCAACTTCTAGTCAGGACTTTACATTCCATAAAATACTATATTAATTTAGTTAAAAACCTATCTATGCGTGTTTCTCTCTCATTTTCAGACATGCGACTATTATGTCACATGTCATGTGACAGAAATGTAATTCCCACCATTTCATTGCCAGAAATCAAACAAATACTTCATCCGCAAATCACAGATCAAAATAATTCCTTCAACTATTGTAGTGTAGACCTTTACGGTGATTCTGGACTGTCTATGGGGGATCTGATAAAGACTAATTGTTTCAGCGGTGTCTGTCTATCTTGGGCCATGATACTGTGCGATAATGAGTCAAGCAGACGCAGAGCTGCCACACTGATGTCATGGCAGGTCAGACAGAAGGTCAGCGAGAGGAACGCAACAGAGGCTCCACAGCCTGTGCAATCAGCCCATTAGAGAGACAGTGGGCTCCATCACTCCTGCTGCATCCTCTGACAGCCTCTTCCTGCAGGGCCATCACTGTAACACTAGCTGCATATACACTTCTGCAGGTCACACATAAAACGCCCAGAAACACTGGTGGACAAGAAGTATTTTTACTTCACTATTGTACTTAAAAATGACCAATCAACATCAAATCTTGCCCGACTTGTACAGACAGCTTTAAAAATGGTAGGTTGGGAAGCGAAAGGACCTATTCAAGAGATGCATGAGATAGTCGTAGTTAAGAAAACTGTTTTACATGACAATTCAAGAAAAACATGTTATCCTTAAGAACCGATTTGGGTTCTTGATGTGCAAATCGAATTGATGCAAACAATATTATGTGCTGATTGCTGTTAAATTATTTAACAGTAAAGTAGGGGGAAAAAAGAGGGTTGACATTTTGTAAAATTTGATATGTATAATTTATTGTGTTGTAATGTGCTGATTGGCCATGCCATGTATAGCCAAAATGAATTTCTCAGAACTGGGACAAAAAAAAAACTGTAAGTAAGTAAAAAATTAAATAAATGGTTTAAAAAAAAAAAATAATAATAATAATAAAGAGCTTCTGTGCTTTATCAGAGTATTTTTATTTCAGAAAAATTTTAGGTCACTGATTTATATGATTCGTACAATATAGTGTCAATCTTCGTTTTGCGAATCACTGATTAAAATGATTCGGTCAGAGAGACTCTTTAGAAAATATTTTTTTGTGAGGATTTATTTTAAGTCTGGAAAAATAAATTACCTAAAATACATTTTCCCTGCAGCTGAAGGATTACAGTATGGTTGCGTTCTTCTTAAATATTTGTCTACATGCTATTTTGTTTTATTCACTTGCACTCAAATTATCTTTAATTTTACTATAGATATTAGTACAAATTTTGGTAATAAAAAATAGATATACATGTTGAATTAAATGTTTATTCTATAATAATTACCTTTTTTTACTTTTAATTTGTAACTACATTCAAGATAAAGGTTTTGTTTAAGAAACTTATTATTTTTATCAAGGCGGCATTTATTAAATGTAAAAAACGTTAAATTATTAAATACTTATTTATTAAATATTAATTTATTAATTATTGTATTGTCAAAATATGTATTTTCAAATGAAATTATTAGTCCAATCATTATTGCTTTTATCACTATTGCCACTACTAATAATAATATTAATAATAATATTAGTTTATCTCAGTCCCTTTGGTGCGTTTCTCACAACACTACTGCATTTCTGCACCACAATTAGTGCATTTCTCAGAACAATTAGTACAAACTGCAAAATTTAGTTGATAACCAGTAAATGTGCGTCACTTGCTCAAAATGGATAGTTTATTCCCTAAAAGCAAGTATTCATCTCAATCAAAGTGTCTGTGTCATTAAGATGAAAAGTACTGACACCATTATTTATGAACAAGATAGTCAAATGGCTTTGTCATGTTTTCATTATGACAGTTTACTCTGGACATTTTTTCAATGCAAAAAAAGTCAGATGTTGGTGACACTTCCTGAAAATGCTCAAGACAGCACTATATTCTATTTGCACAGCCATTTGAAAACTACAGCAAAGTTAGACATCTCTGCATTTAGTGGAGTATCTGAGTACAAGACACTGAATATGTATGTTTCACATTTTTACTGCATTTGCTCTTTGCAATTCTAATTTATTCACAGCATTGTGCAAAAGAATAAATACACCCTTATTTACAATAAACATACACTTCCTTTGGGTTGAGCTGTGCACAACTGTAAACTATATTGCAAAACATATTGGAACTGAACCTACAGCACAGGTCTGTAAATCATTCATGAAATTGTTCAATTTTTAAGACATTTTCAGGAAACTAAAGATTTATTTTTTTTTAATAAAATTTGCTAGACAGATTTTGACAACTAGTTCAACATTTTTGTATGTAATGACTCAAGTAATGAAATGAGGACTATTAGTTTTATAAAGAATGACTATTTAGCAATCACAGGTTTAGTTCATTTTGACTGACATGACATAAGCAAATGATAATGTTATAAATAGCAGAGAGTTGTGTGAAAGCATTTGATGCATGTTAAAAAGCATTTGCAATTTGTTGGAAGGAATGAGAAACTGCTACTAGGATGTGTACAAATGACTAATTGCTTTGAGAAATGCATTAACTGTTGTGAGAAATGCACCAAAGCGACAGAGAAAAACTGTAATGATGGGCGACGCAGTGGCGCAGTAGTTAGTGCTGTCACCTCACAGCAAGAAGGTCGTTTGGTCGCTGGTTCGAACTTCGACTTAGTTGGCGTTTCTGTGTGGAGTTTGCATGTTCTCCCTGAGTTTGAGTGGGTTTCCTCCGGGTTTACCCACTGTCCAAAGACATGTGGTACAGGTGAATTGGATAGGCTAAATTGTCCGTAAAGTATGAATATGTGTGAGTGTGTGTGGATGTTTCCCAGAGATGGGTGGCGACTGGAAGTGCATCCGCTGCGTAAAAATGTGCTAGATGAGTAGGCAGTTCATTCCGCTGTGGCAACCCCGGATTAATAAAGGGACTAAGCCGACAAGAAAACGAATAAAATGAATGAATGAATAATATTAATAACAATAATAATTAATATTAGAGTGATTTCTGAAAGATCATGTGATTTTGAAGACTGGAGTAATGAAGAAGAAAATTCATCATTAAAATCACTGGAATAAATTACTGAATTAAACTATAAACTACTTCTGAACAGATATTTTATAGTGCAATGCATGTCACAATTTTACAAATTGTACTGTATTTTTAATTAAATAGGTGCATCCTTGACGATAAGGAGAAGCTTATTTAAAAACATTTAAAAATCCATAGTGTATATGACAAATTATATATACATTTGAGTATGATATTGAGTCTGAAAATATTTTTTCTCTGGAGAAAGTCTTATATGTTTTATTTCAGCTAGAATAAAAGCAGTTTATATATATATATATATATATATATATATATATATATATATATATATATATATATATATATATATATATATATATATATTTTTTTTTTTTTTTTTTTTTTGATTGTCTAAAAACAAACCATCATTATACAATAACTTGACTTACTACCCTAACCTGCCTAGTTAACCTAATTAACCTAGTTAAGCCTTTAAATGTCACTTTAAGCTGTATAGAAGTGTCTTGAAAAATATCTGGTGAAATATTATTTACTGTCATCATGACAGATAAAATAAATCAGTACTTAGAAATGAGTTTTTAAAATTATTGTTTAGAAATGTGTTGAAAAAAATCTTCTTTCTGTTGAACAGAAATTGGGGTAAAAAATTAACAGGGGGCGAATAATTCTGACTTCACCTGTATATTGCTAAAAAAACTTTTATTTTGGGTGCTATTAATCGCAATTAATCTTTGCCTAGCATTAATATACTATTTCATTAGAGTCATCTGTACTTTTCCTCAACTGTTTGATTTGTATACGTGTCCACCTCTGCCAAGAAACTGACTTTTCTAGAGATGACCGACCATTATGTAGCAAGCTATACGCTTTGCTTCTGATCCAGCTATACAGTGAGCCAAGCCAAGCATGTGTCCTATTATCCACGAGGAGCTCATTCAGGAGCCTTCAAAAGCCTGAAAATGAATTATGCATTTGTTCAGCTCTCATGTTTAACAAGTGTCGTACAGCGAGGATAGCAGCAGATTTACTTTC